ACTCTATGTTGAAATGACTTGTTTGCATCTGAAGAAATGAGTGTCTGAAGTACCTGGAACTGAGAGAATCTGTATCTGTGATTTTGTGAAAATTTTATTTTCCATTACCTATGAGCAGAAGGGCTTTGATTTGGCGAGAAAACTATACCTAACATCCATTCTCCCTGACCTGAGACTCCGAGCGCGTACAATAGGAGGAATGTGTCACTTAGAGTTGTCTTCTAAGGGGCTTGGTGAAGTGCCTTCTACTTGTGACATAAAAAATGCAGAGATTTTGATGGATTTAAAATGAAAAGGAAAATGAAAGAATCTGTCAAGCCTTTCAGCTTTAAAGATAAGTTTTATTGGCTTTGTTTCTAACAAATACAAACCCTCCTTCCGTTTTGTTGATGCTTGTAGGAATTTTGCCATAATTGAGAATATGCTTAGTCCCTTAATGATTAAACAAGTAGTTTGCGTGCTCTAGTAATCATTCTCTCAACATACTACTGTTATATAATATAAACTCCAAAAACAGTTATTTCTGAAGCTATATTTAAACATTGTGGTTTCAGGTTCCATGAAAAATCACACTGAAACTTAAAACGTAGTAAAGATTTATGGCCAGTGCTAAGGGACATGAAACACTGTTGTTAATACACAGTGGTTACTTGGATAGGCCATTTCTGTTCCTTCTGTATCCCAAAAGCAATTCAGTGTAGAGCAAATTACCCTGTTTTCAAGAACGTGTTTACCTATGTAGTGTATGATGGCCTCTGGTAGGTGCACTTGTGTTGGTCAGTGCACCTCGTCAGGTGTATGAAGCAACAGTGTCCCATCTGTTACCACAGCTAAATATTCCGCACAGTAAATGTGCTTCTGAAATTAATAAAAGGAATATAGCATATGCTTAGCATGAGAAAGCCCAGCAACGTATACCATTGTCCTAGTCCAAAATGCAGACTAAAGTAGTATAGAAAAGCTTGATTGAAGTATGCTAAAAATACAGTAATTCTTTAGTATCTGGTAGAAGTACTTGGGAGGTTAAGATGGGAAACAAGTCGGAGGGATGTACAAACTAGCCATTTCTTGCCTGAGTCTTCGTACAGAAACACATGTGCAGGAAACATGAGATTCTCTGAATTCCTCTCTCGGAGCTTTTGTTTCAATTCTCTTCAGTCATGGAGTTTGACTTGCTAGAGGATACATTCTATTCTGATCCTTGTAGCAGAGAAAGCAGGAAATCTAAGTGGAAATCAGTATATTTGCCTTTAGAAATAATGTTCATGCATCAAGGAAATACAAGCTACTGCATAAACTGTTGTGTTTGTGCAGTCCCAGAAAAAAAGTCAGATCTTTAGCGAGTTAGATATTTATTAAGAGAATTTACAATTCATTATCTTTCTAAAAAAAAGAAAGTTATTGGTCTGCAAATATAAAGTTTAGCCTGCTATATAACACCTTATCAGAAGTAGCAGTGACAGAAACACATTCAAGAATAAAATGTTTAGTTTTAAGAGCCCTTCTGTTCTGCTAAATGGTAGAAACAGGCTCTGGGTGTAGCATATGAGGGTTTTCTGCCCTTTCAGTTTTGGTTATGCTTTATAGTTTGTGGTCTTAAGTGCCCTTTCCTATTCTGCTCTGTTCACAAATTAAAAAATGTCTATTATTTCATGATTAATGGTGACAATAGATTGTTTCTTTTTAAAGTTTTTCCACACTTTTCTCTCTTTTCACTGATCTCTTCAGGTGAAGAATCTCATCTTGTGTGTTTGCCTGGTGCCTTGCATGTCGTGGGTGCTACTGAAATGCGAATAAATAATAAACTACACAAGCTGAGATCTGGTACGTGCACTTTCTGGGAATAAACTGTCTTTCGTTCTTGATGTGGCTGTTTTTTAGCAAAAGGCATCAAAAAAGCAGTCTCTTTCCCAGGCCATCCCATTGGCGTTTGCATGATTTCGGCCTCATCTTGCTTGACCTGCACGGTTCTCGTAATTTCTTTTTACCTCGCTTGTAAAACATGCCAGTAGCACTTTCCTACCTGTTGTTGACATTGTGGACATACATGTAGGAAAGATTATGGGGCGCTTTACATAATGGCCATGTGGCACCCACCCTGATTTAAAGGATACCACCCATGCCAAATTTCATCCTTTATGCCTTCCTCTGCTCTCTCTGGATCCAGCCGCTGCTCAGATACACTGTCATCAGCAAACCCACTACTTCTGCTCCATTTCAGAGTTGCAGATTATTCACCTTCCCAATGACAGTGGGTCAAGACCTACCCCAAGACCTACTAAAGCTAAAGAAGGACCTAAAACATGCAGGGGGCCTTGAGGAGCATTCCCCTGCTTTGACTTGGCATTTGCCAGGCTGCCATTTTGCAACAGGGTTTTAAGCCAACACAGAAATTTGAGAAAGATGCCAGATTTCCAGTGCTCAGCAGTGGATTCCTTTCTCCACAGCACGGACAGGCGTGGAGGGATGTTGGAGGCTTTTCTCAGGACCTCCCTCGCATGACTGTATCCCAGGCTGGAAGCATGGTCCTTGCCATGGACAGAAGCTCTGTTTTCCTTGCCCACTCGCCACATAACCTGCCCAGCAAAGCTGCCAAGACCGTGTATGGGTGGCGGTTGCTGTGATGGGGCCTGGGAAGGAATTCCTGCCAGGATTTGGGCATCTGTGCTGTGGGCTCTGCACCTGGGCTAGTTATCTGCTCTCTCCTCCTAGTCCCGGGAGACGACCTAAAACGTGATTTAGCACTCCTACAGCATGATTTACCTGCCCCGCTGTGGATGGGTACGTCAGGGTGAGATGAGTGGTGCCCGAGAAGTGCCCCTTTCTCTCCGCAGGCTATGAAGAGAGCTTAAACCATGAGATCAGTTATAAATGCCTGTTATAGGTAAGACCAGGTAAAATTAGTCATACCCTGAACACTGTTTAACTATCAATGTGTAAAAGAAGGTGTGGTGCAGAAACTGCATTTCTGACACAGTTGATGCTTGCTAGTTCTTGCCTGCTAGTTAGCGAATCCGCAAGAGAAGCCACCCTCGGTTTAGGCCTAAGCAGGGGACGTGATCTGCTTCAAGATGCTTGAGCTACTTTGTCACAGTAGCTATAGCAGGCTAAAATTCAACATCTGTGTAGGAACAACAAAAGAATAAATACAACATCTGCTATATTACCGTGTTTCAATTAAAAAAAGATAAACTGTATGAGAAAGAAAGCATGTTAAAAGTGAATTAAAGTAGAGCTAAAACGGTAGACTGCTTACGGGGACTGCTGAAGCGGTTTAAGGCAATTTAAAGGGCTAAGAGCAAAGATGTGCTACTTGCCAAAAAAGGCAAGAAAAGGACTGCACAGGCCCCCACCCCCCAAACAGCCACGGTTTAACACAGATAACATAAGTTACTAGAAATAAAAAAGCATCCTTTGGAGAGTGGAAGTCGTATCCAAATGCAAGAACAGGAAGGGGGATAAACCTTGGTGAACTGAGTATGAAATGATTGTAAGGCAAGGTACAAAGAGTTTGAACTTTCTTGAATAAGTTTCATAGCCACATCTGGCAGAATGTGAAGCAAATGCATGCTACAGAGAAAAGCTAGGCAATATGTGGCATTAAAGGGACTAACTCATTCAAGCTCCAGATGCTCGCAAGGCCATGTTATTGCATCTCAAAGGAGGGCGCAGTACATCTCTCCAAGCAGCCGGTTGACTGGGGCATCTCACGCAGAGGTGTAACGGCTCACTTTCCTCCACTCACTTCTACCAGTACTCAGCGGTGAGCTGGATGCACCCAGCTGCCTTCATCAAATAAAATAAATCGTGGACCAGCAGCTTGGAAGATCACGGGGTCTGGGAGGGTAGTGCCACAGCCTTTGCTTGCCTGATGGGGCCGGCTGCATCCCTCCCTGGCGCTCGGACGGCACGGTGCCGGCCCAGCACTCGGCTCTGCCTGACCACGCGCGGCTGCAAAGGCTGCTGCTGCTCAGGAAAAAACACAGTGTGGGACCAGGCGCTGCACCGCTGTGCTGCTCCTCGGGAAAGGGCAGACCGGCGGAGCTGGGGACGTTCGCACGGAGCTCGCACAGAGGGCACGCGGGGCGCTTTCAGCTTCAGCATGGCTGGTGGCCTGCGGGGCAGCAGGGCATTGCCATGCGCTCGCTGCATGATTTGCAGCTGCAGCCCATTAAGCGCTCACCTTTTCACCCGCTCCCTTCACCTGCAGAGCAGAGACAGCAAGTTTCATAGCATGACTTGGAGAAAGGGTATCAGTGTCCAAAGACTATTCTTGTAAAAGACGTGGAAGGCTTAAATGCTTTCTCTTGCTAGTGTAAAGCTGGGGAAAGACTGGGCACATGCAGACCGTTTCCCAACTTCTCTACTTTCAAAGACAGAAAAATCCGTTCTTTGCGTTTCAACTTTGCCCTGAGCTAGCCCTCACTGTGACGTGGATGGCTTCCTAGCTGAGTGTTTCTGTTACCTTGTGCCATTTTTATTTTGCAAAGATTTCAGATCATCACCGATGCTCCCAGGGAGCGCTGATGAGTTGCAGTTTGATCATCACGATCTTCAGTTCAAAATGGGAAGAGCACCCCAGACCCTGGAGCTCTGTTCCACTTTTAAATGGTTGGATGGGCGTAGAATGACACAAACACTTACAAAAATATAAAATGTGTTTTTGCAGTGATGTGACCTTGGGAACAACAGGCTCCTGTAGCAAACCCAGCAATGATATATTATTGTCACCCTTTATAGAGACTTTGGAGAGGGAGCTATTTGACTTGAAACGTGCTTAGGCGTTTCGAGATAAGAAGCACAGCCACTAGTGCAGATGGCATCCTAACCATCCAAGGAGGCTGGTTTAGACAAAAAAAGCTACGTTTATCCAGCAGACAAAGACCCAGGTGCATCTAAAGCTGCTTTGGGAAATGGTCTGTCCTGGGAGCAGGCAGGCAGTCCTGGGTCAGGTGCTCCCTGCTGCATGCCCGATCCGTGCCCTTTGCCTTCCCCACGCCGACCGACGGTGGATGCGCTCCACAGCTCCTGGGTGTGCCCTTGTGCCGGATAGCCTGGCGCTTCCCATTCCCTTGTCTTGGAGGCGAAACTGGAAAAGGTTTAGAAAAGTGTGACTGGAACGGTACGTGGTCTGGAACAGTTTCTGTGCAAAAAACCAACTACTTGCATTTGAACTCCTCTGCTCAGAAATGCTGCAGCTCTGTAAAATCAGGAGTGGTACAGAGAGGGCAACGGGATCAGTCATTCCTTGTCTCTTCCACTGCAAGACTTGTGCGATGTCAAATTAAGGCAGTAGCAGCAGGTTCAAAGCAAACAGGAGGTGGTTCTTTGCAGAGCGGTGAGTTAACTGCGGACCTCCATGCAGCAAGATGCTGTAGGTGCAGAGTTTACGCTGGCTCAGAACAGCCTGGATAATTTTCCAGCAGGAAAAGTCAAAGGAAGCGCTTAAATACAGAGATGTGACCTGTGGCTTGGGAAGTCCCTGAGCTGCAAAGCGCTGGCAGCCAGGAGAGTCTTTGGCAGCATTAGCGCTACACCCTCGCCGTGGTCTTCTACTCCTCGCTGGGCAAAGGGTTAGGCACTGCCAAGGCTGGGCTGGAGGAGCCTGGCTGGATCTTTGCTCGGATGTGGTAGAGCTGGTTTTAGGGGGTTACGGCCCTGCGGCCACTGTGTCCACCTCACGGAAGCCCCAAGTCCTTTGGAGCAAGTGGACAGCTCTTGAGGTCTCAGGAGGGAAACCGCCGCAGTATCGGATAATGCTTTTAATTCCCTGCCGGCACCCAGAGCGGGATCTGCAGCAGATTAGCCCCCGAATGACCAAGCTTTTCCCTGGGAGGACTTGACATTCACAGGGAAATATTACTCGTGCTATAAGAGACTTCGGAAAACTCTCTGCTTTTTGCTAGGCGAGCATGGACGAACCATGAAGGGCGTATTGTGGTGTCTCGCAGCAGCGAGGCTAGAGCGGCCACCGGGCAGCCGGCACGGCTCTGGGTGATGTCTGAATCCACCACAAAGAGGAGAGTAAACCCCCAGCTCCTGGCAGGGGAAGAGCCAGCGAGCTCGGGCCACGAGGCAGAAGGGGGTCCATCTGGCTTTGCCTGGTGGCGAGCGCTCAGGGACGGCAGTAGAAGAGGGCTGTTGCCTACACCTAACCTGGAGGTGCACACGGCGCAGAGGGAGCCGTGGTCGCCGCGCTCACCACCGCTCTCCTGAAAGGGGAAGGGAAAAGGAGGAAGCTGTTTCGAGGTCGGACGGCGAGACCACGCTCCCTGGAGCATGGTGCTGCCCGGGGACGCGGGGTCCTCTGCCGACCCCGCTGCGCACTCCGTCCCTTGACGGCCGTCTTTGGGTCGGAGGAGCCTTTTTTGGGGGTTTCCATCCAAGTAATCGAGGGGAGCATGAGCT